CTTTAATTTTGTTTGAAGAGGTGAGTAGAAGGGATTCGTAAGTTGGTTCCATCGGAAGCTGTGAGGGCATTGCATAGGAGCTGTGGTTGTAGGTTTGTGCGAATAGGTCCTCAGAAGATCAAGCCTTTTCGTATATCACGTTCTGTGGTGGTATTGTTGATGCAGCAAAGTTGTATTTAATATAGCAATCGGCTATAATGAATACCACAGGAGGGACTCGATCCATGATAGTGCAGCATATGACGGATTACAAAGACCAGAGAAAAAGTGAAGATGAAGTAGTGAATCTGTCTTCCATCCATCTCCACCTGAAGGGAATAACTTTTACACTTTGGAATGCAAGGAAAGCAATCAAGGACATATTAATAAAGGAGATAAAAACATCTGAGAAGTTATCTGACTAATCAAAAAGAGAGCTGGAAATGGAAACTACCCCAAAAATCTTGGCGAATAAAGAACCTACAAATAGGAAAATAACCAAGATATAAATATAATTGAAAAAAAACGATCAAATATTCCTATAAATTGACGAGAGAAGTGACCCAAAGGTGATAGAAAGCAGGGAAAATACAAATAAAGTGGATAATTATCTCGGAGACACTACAACTTATTAACAGTTAAAATCAAAGGGGCAATGCAAGAAATGCTGAAGGAAATGAAAATGAACGGTGAAATGGACACTGAACTTACTCCTACGAAAGGATGCAAGAGCCCCAATATCATACGGCTTGCGGAAAGTACACAAAGAAGGAGAACCATTGAGACTAATAATCAACAAGAAACATGGACCGACATCCAAATTGGCAAATTTATCTGCTTTAAATTAAAGAAAGTGAATGACGGACTATCGAATATAGTGAAGAAGTCATACGAATTTTGCCAAAGAATAAAAAGGCGCAAGGTTGGAAGAAAACTAACTTTTGGTAAGCTTTTATGTATAGTCCATGTAAACCAACATCTCAGGATAAAAAACATTCATAGCACTACTGAAGATCTTGAAAAAAAAAGATGGCATCCTCGAGACGGTGCGAATCCGTTAAGAGTCTCCAACACGAGTAATCAACCTAATAATAAGAACGACCTAGTTCACATTCAATGGCCGCATCTATAAGGAAATATTGGGTCTGCCTATGGGCTCACCACTCTTACATCTGTTTCCTAATGTCTTCATGGACAAGGTGGGGTGAATTTCACTATTTCACCCCAGCAGCCAACAGTAATTATGCGATATTTGGATGAATACTTCGCTATTTGGTCGCATGGAGGATAAAAATTAGACGATTTCCTGATCTTCATCAAGGAAATTGATGAAAAAGTCAAATTTACTATGGATATGGAAGAGAAGGGATACATACCTTTCTTGGATGTAGAGACCATTTCCTCCAAGAAAACTTTCGTATGCTGAAATATCTTTTTACTTCCAGTCGAACCATAATTATGGAATGAAGATTAGAATACTTCGGGGTACGGTCTCACTGACTACGAGTTATGGGAGAAGGAACCAGAAAGACTAACTCAGAAGAAATACAAGGCAACATATGGATCGTGATGAGCAGATGGCAAGACGGAGATTATGAAACAGAGGAAAAGCGATAGATATGTCTAATATCCGGCGAATTTGCTTAGAAGATTCGAACAATAATATGCAAATAGAACATTCGTACAATCCTGAAGGAGAGAACAGCACTCTTTATCAGCTTGCCCACCCAACATTGAGAATTCAATAAAAGGGAGTGCTCCAGAATTTACAGCATAAACTGCAAGGAGTGTAGCCAACTATACATAGGAGAGACAGGAAGCATAATCTGCACAGAGATCAAAGAATATCATCGACTATACAGAAAAATGGATACGGAGAGATCAGAGATAGTTAAAGACATCGCTTTTAACGGCCAGACAATTGTCTGAAATACAACAGAAAGACTAACCTCATATCGGTAAAACACCAGGAAACGGAAGATCAAGGAAGTTATGGATATCCTGTTTCAAAGAAATCTAATCAACAGGTGATTGGAAGAGAGAAAAGTCAGTAATAATTTCGTGTGCTGCCTATACAGAGTTGGAATTTCAGCGAAGAAATCAAAAAGAAGATGCTTGGACCCAGGAAAACTGTTCAACAACATTATGAGACATCGCCAAGAAGCGGTTCATGAGGGACATCCGGAAGTCAAGAGAAAGCAATTGCAATGAGAGTAGTCAAACCTGGATTCGGCCAAAAATTTGCCTTTTTTATGTCTGTGCCTTAATGAGAAATGACTGTTTGCATGCTTTACCACGGGAAATACCAGCCACTACACACATAAACTTCCTATTACACTAGGATTGTCGAGAGGACGAGAGGAGTGTGCTCTTCGCGATTTAAATGAAAAAAGGAAGCGGTGCATTTTCATACTAGTGGTTACGACTCAAGCAGGGCACAGGGCCCCGAAGAATGAGATACAATATGAAGGTGGATGAGAAAGGAGATAACCAAGTCATGG